CTTTCAGCAGGAATCGAGTTCCATGACTGCTTAGAATAGACACAGGCTCAATTCTGTCAAAGGAAGCCAGCTCGTCTGTAGGAACAACGTGTGACTCATAGGTCGCAAAAGGGGACGCAGTAACAAGGTTGGAACTGAAAATCGGAAGTTTTTCGCACCTTTAGAAAACAGGACTTGAAGTGACACTTTCCATATCACAGCCACAGCCAAGCTCTTGGTGCAGCCGCCAGCCTTATCTATTCTTAGCCTTGTCACATGTCACACGTCCGACGTCGAGTGTCGTAGCGTGAGGTCCCATGGCTGGCAATCAGGCGCCCCAGGTGCTGCCACTCAGCCCAAAGTGAAATCAAACACAAATGGTCCTCACCGGGTCGAGCCGGAGAATCGGCACGGTCCGTCTCAGCTAGACATGGGGTGACCAAAAAGAGGGTGTTTTTTTCTGCAGTTCTGCAGGATTCGTCGGGATGGGCACGGGTTCTGAAGTGAAGATGCTGACTGCAACTGCAGAACAAGGGTGAAACTCTCCACAAAATGGTTCTGAAGAGATGCAATAACAAGTCTGCTGGATGCATTTCAAATTTTCACTAGTCAGTGCAGTGTGCAGCAACACGCCACACCCAATGTGGTGAAGAACTCAGGGAGCACTTCAGCTGTTGCGTGAGGCCCAACTGGCAGCCATATGGCCATATGGTGCTTTTTTGTTCGTTCTTCCTGGGTCCGATCAGTCAGCGAGTTCATGACAACACCTTGGGTAGAGGGACCTGCCAGGTTCATGACGGCCTGAAAAAGCAGCCCGAAGGCAGTGCCTTCACCAGTGTCAAATGAATGGATTAGTAGTATGGTTTCTGAAACCGATGGCACTGGCTCCCAAAGAATCCAAAGATGTCTTAGACACATGGGGGTCCATGTAAACCACCGACATTGGGGGATTGCGCCATCGAACCTCTGAAACCACTGTAATATAGTTAAATCTATTGTATACATGATACATTCAAGTGGCCAATCCTACCCTTCAGTCCTGACTTTTCACCCGAATATCCACGAGTGGACCAAAGGTGTAGCTCATAGCACAGCCTGACAAGCAGTGGGAACATCGTATGTTCCAGAATTTGCAAAAAGACCTACGAAGGGGCATTGACAAAACTCAAGAAGCACTGGCCATATTTGAGGTCCACGAATTCACTCCCGCCCAACGTGCACGTGACATTCCTGTGTTCCCCGCCAACCTAACGCGAAAAACAAAACCGTGAGTGACAAATTCAGTCGGCATGGCACCAAAAGTTTACGGAGAAGCTCCTGGAACATCTTAGAGATAGCAGATCGAAATCCATCGGAAATAGATTTAAATAGATGACCTTTCGGGGTTCAACGTCCTGAGGCTGGTCACAAGATCTTAACTATCTATACCATGTATATGTACATATGTAAAATCTTCATAGGCTCGGGTTGCTGCATGTTTTTAGTATCTTTTAGTATCAAACATATTCCCGATGTTAAATCGTGTCAGTGCGTTACACCCCTGCTGTCCTGCTTCATCATGCAATGAACTTCTATGTTTCCCATGTCATGTTCACGTCGGGAGGGTTGGCGACTTGTGACAGCCAGCCATTTCTCAACCAAAGGATGGGGTGCTCACCTTGTGCTCACATTATGGGGACTTCTGGAGTCAAGGTGGTCCAAGGAAATCGGCGCTTTTCATCCAGTGCCCGTCCGTTCTCCAAAACTTGCGCCGCGGGAGTCTCTGTCCAATGGCGCAAGTCACTTGAAAGTTCAATGCCAGGACCTTCAGTTCCTGACCTCTTTGGAGTCTCTAAGTGGCCTTTTACAAGCCCAAGTGACTGCATCCTGTGACTTCCAGGAGTGCCACTTTGAAGCTTCTGGTTGGTCGGCCACTCAGCAGTGCGGCTTGGCAGTTGGCACCAAAGGCTACATTCAGTCTCAAAACCGTTCTCAGTCATGCCACGCCTGAACACTTCTCATGCCTCCTTGACTGCCGCTCCCCAAGAACACTGTGTGCGACAGGAAGATTTAGAGTAGGCCGCAGTGACAGTGCGAGTGCACGCACTTCTTTGACCTTGGAACTGCACATAGCTCTTGCACCGAACAAGCTCCCTTTTGAAGGCTTCTTCCTGGAAGATCGACCGCTGTTAACCATGAAAACATATCGGTGCAATAGTTGAACATGTCGATATCCAACCCTCAAAAGCGATCAATGATGTCACAATAATGTCCGTACTTGGGAAGAATCAGAGGTTGGTACTACATGCCGGTTGGTTGTACAATGTTGTACACCACTGGGGTATCCCTTGCGTTAATCAACAAACCAAGGCCGTAAAGGCAATCTAGGAATCTATTATATGAGAGCGATGTTAAAACAGCCAAAACAATGAAAACTATGTTTGCTCAACAAGCCGCTTAAAACTACCTACAAGTTTAACTGCACCATCCTGTCCTATACAAATTTCTAGAGCTCATAATAATCACATTGATTTTCAATACAGTGAAATACCTACAACACATTAAAACTAAAAA